CTTGTAAATCACTTCAAATTTAAAATTTTCAGTAAACACTTTTAATGTATCATAGAAATATATAGAAAACARTTRSAAAGACTAGAAGCAAGCAAACTTGTATTGGAATATAGAAAAGAGTAAGACATGTTTATTTAAGGAAATTGTTTTAACCATTTGTTAAATCTAGAAAGACCAGCAATAAAATTATCCTTTAAAAAATTTACATGAAGTTGTGAAATCTTTTGGCTGATGTTAAAACGTTGGATAGAAGCATGGTTAACGTCAAAAATCCTGGGCCCCCTTCAAAAGGTGTGATGGCTGATGCAACTTTGCAAACCTCTTCATAGCAAATGTCCCCAACTATTCGAAAGCCTTCCGGAGCATTTGGATCCTACATTAATAGTATAACAATGTCACATATGGGTCACTTAATCAACAATTATAACTGCATTGTTCACTTACCCTCACTAAATGAGTCCCAATATTGATAACGACTGCGCCCGGTTTTATCCAGCTTCCTCTGACCATGTTTGGCTTCCCAATATCTGAGATTACGATATCAGCTTGTCTTGTAATTTCTTCAGGGTTCTTGGTTTCTGAATGGATAATGGTAACAGTTGCATCCTCTCTCTACCATTTTACAAAAATACATCAAGAAAGAAGAAAAAAATTAACAAATTAAATGTATCATTCATTACCTGCAGTAACAGAGCAATTGGTATACCGAAATCGTTACTCCTTCCAATAACAACTGCTCTCTTTCCTTTGATCTCAATGTTGTACCGGTGTAACACCTCGATGTATCCTTTTGGAGCACACGGAGCGAAGAAAGGTTCTCTTCCGCGCATTGCAAGCCGTCCAATATTTAATGGGTGAAATCCGTTAGCGTCTTTCTCTGCACTAATCGCATTCACTATCTTCTCATCCATATGCTGCATCTACACTCGATAAATAAATTAATACTCGATAAAGTATGCAATACCTGAATAAAAATTAAAAGTTTTTTTTCAACCAAATAATACCGATGGCAGTAGACGCGGCGGAACAATGATTCCATGGACACAAGGATCATCGTTCAAACGTGAGATTGATTTGAAGACCTCCTCTTCTGAGGAATCTTTAGCTAGACGAACTTCGAATGATTTCATTTGTACTAACATACAAGGTACCTCATAAGATTCATAAGATTCGGAGTAGTTGCTATCCCCAAGAAGGACTACTGCTAATCCAGGAACCGCACCGATTGATTTCTTCATTTTTATAACATCGGTTCTTATCTCATCTATAATCTTTAGTGTCACAGGGAATTCATAAATTACCATCGCGGTATCAGCTGAACAGAAAAGCAAAGTCCTATGAGATTAATTAAGAGTTCTTGATAATTGAAATTCGTGAGGCTTACAAGAAGAGGAGCGAATAGAGAGAATGCAGGTATGGCCACGGACGGACGCAGTGCTCCGTAAGCTCAGCTGTTCGATCCACCGGCGGGGGAGGAAAGCACCGTTGGGGCGACTCGGATGCGACGTAGTGGAGGCGAAACAATCGGTAAACATCAATGATGTCATTTTTTTACCCGAACACTAGTTTGCTCGGTCCCGGCAGAGATAAAACAGCACAAATCTAAGGAATAAGAGGCCGAAAACAGCAAAACCAAAAGGATAAAGACTACGACCAAATGAGAAGAGACAAACCAGGAATAGGTATAAGCCGGAGGAGAAGCGACGAAATTAGTTGAGAAGTAATGGGAGGAGTTGTCTTTTACTTATACTCTTATTTGTTCTAGGGTTGATGATATGAATGGTCAGAATTGGTCAAAATTCAATTGATTTCAATCGAAAACTCGGTAGGCGTTGTTAACGGAGGCTAGTTGTAAGATTTTCTTTCTTTTTATTTGTATTCATATATATTTATACCAAACTTTCATAATTTATATATATTTATACCAAACTTTCATAATAATCGAAAAGAGAGCTGTGACTACCATGTCTCTGGTTCGATCATTAAGTAGTTCACTTGTTGCTTTTTTTTATAAAAAAGTAATTGTCTCTTCATCTTCTTCACCAAACCCACCACTCTACAACCATAATTACCGACTGCACTAGAAAATTTTCACATATTTAGACATTTTTTTGCGTTTTTTTTTTATTATCTACACTTAAAACTCATAGATATGAAATTATACTAAAGTTAAAAGGAGAAAAAACTAAGTTTTTACAAACTGTTCTAATTTTTGTACCGAGTATCCTAAAATCGAGGCGGTTGAACGTTTATCCGGCGAATTAGCGGCCGTGAACGTTGATTTCAATTAAGTAAATATATTTTAAAATTTGATAAAATCTTAGATAAACAA